TTAGCAATTTTTACAAAACAATGTGGCCCTGGGAGTCCACGCCACTGTGTGCACCCACTGTGTCCCTGAGGGGCCCAGGGCCATGCCGTCTCACAGCCCTGACTCGGGGGCTGGGTCTAGGGCAGCACATGCCTCTGTGTGTGTCAGGTGTGGGTAGGACCAAGTCCCCCAGAGGCCCACTGCCTGCCTCATCCAGCTTCTGCGTGCCCACACCGGTGGCCCCTCCTCCACCGCCCGAGCAGCAGCACAGCATCTGTGTTCCAAAACGTCCCTAAGCCCGGGCTGCTGGTGTGACTCAGGGGTGGAGCGTCGACCTATGAACCAGGAGGTCATGGTTCGATTCCCCGTCAGGGCACAGGCCCGGATTGCATGCGTGCTCGATCCCCAGTGTGGGGCATGCAGGAGGCAGGAGATCCATGATTCTCTCTCATCATTGATGTTTCTTGCACTCTCTCCCTCTCCATCCCTCTCTGCCCTCTGAAGTCTATATACATATACATATATGTATTAGAGGCATGTTGCAGGAAGAGATTCGTGCAATAGGCCTTCCCTTCCCTTGGCTGCTGGCACCAGTTTTCCTCCGGCCCCTGGGGCCCAGGCCTTTGCTCTGGCCCCCTCCCCCCAGCTGTCAGGCTTCACTGCTCCGCCGATCCTGGGGCCATGATGCCTTGCGGCTCCGCTGATCCCAGGGCCATGATGCCTCCCGGCTCCGCCGATCCCAGGGGGCGCGAGACCTCGCTGCTCGGCAGGCTCAGGTACATTTGGCTTCGCTCCACCGCTTGGAGCCTAGTATGCAAATTATTGTTTTAAAGAATTTAAAGTGTATGTGATGTGGATGCCCTTTAACAGGTATAGTGTGGGTCCTCAAAAGGGGTGGCCATTGGTGTCATCCTGGATCTTTCTTGTTGGCGGTTAATTTGCATATCACTCTGATTAGGTAATGGGAAGCATAGCGAAGGTACGGTCAATTACCCTTTTTGTCTTTTATTAGGTAGGATACACACACACACACACACACACACACACACAGAATAAAATTTGTCCCCAGGACCTTTTCCCGTCAGATGGTACGGTGACAGAGAGAGGCAGCTGCCTTCGAAGGAGAAGAGGTGACTGCCGTGCAGAGCCGCATGGGGAGCACAGTGTGTGCCCACAGGCGGACTCAGGAGCCCAGAGAGCGTGGCCCAGAGCCCCAGTGGGGCTTTCACAGGACGGGGAGGGGGGTTCGTGTGGTATCATGGGGAGGGAGGGCAGGCCCTCGCTGTCCAGGACCCAGCTTGGTGTTTGAGGTGCGATGATGAACTGGTGGGCGCGGGCTCTGCATGGATTGATTTGCAATCAAAGGTGTTCATGGGGGAGTCTTAGCCGGCCCCAAGTCTGGTGGGCCATGGGCTTGGGGCAGTCTCTCCAGCACCAAGGCCCCAAGAGTCAAGGATACAGAAAACAAGCAGATACAGCAGAGCCGGGCGGACAGACGGTGCGGGGAGGAGGGAACGTTTCTGCCTGTCTGGAGACACAAGCCAGACTGTGTTTAAGAGAAAGAATAGGTGTTTTGTTGAAGAGAAGAAAGAAGGGGAAAACCTGATGCTACTGTGGACGGGGCCATCCCCGGGAGACGGCTGCCAGCCCTCGGGCCCTGCCTGGCTCCCTTCTCTCCTTTCAGCCGGAGAGAGAAATGACCTTCATTTCCCAGGAGAAGGGGGAATCATGCACCCCCCACCCTCCCTCCGCCCGTGGCCCTGCCTCCTGTTTCCAGGGCCTGTGAGCACGAGCGTCTCCCTTTGTGACAATCATTTCCGTGCAGCTGCCTCGCTTTATTGATGAAGACAAACCCTAGGTACACATTTCAGAACCATCTGCAAATCTCTGTTTAAAATTTTTTAAAAATATGTCTTTATTGATTTCAGAGAGGAGAGAGAGAGAGAAACATCCATGATGAGAGAGAATCATCGATCGGATGCCTCCTGCACCCCCCACACTGGGGGTCCAGCCCACAACCCAGGCTTGTGCCCTGACTGGGAATTGAACCGTGACCTCCTGGTTCAGAGGTCGATGCTCAACCACTGAGCCACGTGGCTGGGCCAAACCTCTTCTCTGAGGTCTGCCCCTCCCCCTCCCCCCAAGGATGACATTTAGAGCCACTCGGATAATCTGAGATCATCCCCCGTGCGAGAGCCTTAACTTAATCACAGCCGCAAAGTCCCTTCACCGGAGTCACACTCACAGGCCCAGGGGGCCACACTCCGGTCACTCCCCTCACAGCCTCCACGTCGCTGTCGCTGTCACACATTTTAATTCCCTGGGTATATCGCAAGCCCCACCCACACATTGTCCAGGCCACTCCGCGCGAGGCTTCCTCTTGCGCCCTCCCTCCTGCCCCCGGCCTGGTAGCCGTCTCTTCCCGAAGGGCACGTCTCCTCATGGCAGATGTTCTCAGAGTTTGTTTCTCTGAAATGTCTACTGGACCTTCTCCTTTTTTTTTTCTACAGAATTTCTGTGAGTTTATTTGATCCATAGACCTTCACTTTGTTTTTTTAAATCCTCACCCCAGGATTTTTCCATTGATTTTTAGAGAGAATGGAAGGGCGTGGGAGAGACAGACAGAAACACATTGATTGGGTGCCTCCTGCACCAGGGCCTGGGCCGGGGAGGAGCCTGCAACCGAGGTACCTGCCCTTGACCGGAATCGAACCCAGGACCCTTCAGTCCGCAGGCTGACACTCTGTCCACTGAGCCACACTGGCCAAGGCGAGCTTCATTTTTTAAGCACATTTATTTTTGCTGGATTTCGAATTCCAGGTTTGCAGTCACTTACTCTCAGGATGTGGAGGTTCTCCCTTCGAGGCTGGAGGTGTCAGCACCGAGGGCTGTGCCTGATGCAGGTGGCAGGCCTTCTGTCCATTGGGCAGGCCTCCTGTCCACCGGGTGGGCCTCCTGTCCATCGGGCGGGCAGGCCTTCTGTCCATTGGGCAGGCCTCCTGTCCACCGGGTGGGCCTCCTGTCCATCGGGCGGGCAGGCCTTCTGTCCATTGGGCAGGCCTCCTGTCCACCGGGCGGGCCTCCTGTCCACCGGGCGGGCCTTCTGTCCGGCTGCACCAACAGCCCTGTCTGTCTGTTGTCTCCCGTTTCATCACCACGACCGCACAGCACTTCTAGGTTCTACAGTTGACATATCCATTGCTTTTAGGAAATCATCAGCTCCTATCTCTTAAAATGCGGTCTCACCAGCCTGCAGACTGCAGGGTGGGGCCACGCTGCCTGGAAGGGGCCGACTGGCTGCCTGGTGGTGTGAGGCTGTATGACCCCTTCAGGGATGTGCAGTGCAAAGTGCGAACATCCCATGGGACTCCCCCCCTCACCCGCAGGTCGGGTCACCCCACTGCTCCTAGAAATGCCACTTGAGCCCGGCCCACACTGCTCAGCGGTTGAGCGTCCGCCTAGGAACCAGGAGCTCACAGCGCCATTCCCGGTCAGGGCACAGGCCCGGATTGCGGGCTCGGTCCCCAGTGTGGGGCGGGCAGGAGGCCTTCTCAACATGGATGTTTCTCTCTCCCCCTCTCCCTTCCTCTCTGAAATCAATAAAAATATATATTTTAAAAATTAAAAAAAGAGAGAAAGAAATGTTACTTGGCTTCTTAGAGGCAGTTTGTCCAGGAGGGTGCCCGTGCCTTTACAACAGCCCCACTTTCAGAAAATGCCCCCCAAAC